GTCAAATTGGAACCTCAAGCGGGGCAAAAATTCCAAACAAGTATCCAAGGAAAAAATGGACATCTTCGACTATTGCAATGGTACACTGTTTAATGTTAAAAGAAAATCCCCCTAGTCAAAGGACAGTTGCAAAATCATTAAAATGCTCGGTGTCCACTGTAAACAAAACGATAAACGTTGATTTAAATCTTCAGAAAGCGAAAAAATGCAATGTGCATCGTCTTCTTCCAAAGCATATCGCTCAACGCAGGACACGCTGCAGAATTCTATATGAGAAACACTTATCCAAAGAAAAATGGAAAACAATTGTCACAATAGATGAAGCATGGGTGTATTTAAATGATTGTAACAAAAAACGAACAATTTATTATCATAAAAGGGAGAAAAAATTTAAGTACATGGTTCAAAGAATCGAAAGAAAGTTTTTCTAAGGGATTCATGATTGTTGCTGGTTTTTCTTATAATGGCAAGTTAAAAATAAAGAGAGTGCAAAAAAATGTCAAGATTGTGAGACTCCAGCAGGACAAAGCTAGCAGTCACACATCAAAATTCATTGTAAATTCCTAAAAGAAATGGAACAAAAACCTGGTATCAAGGCCATAACCCTTCACTGATATCCCTACTAAATCTCCCGATGTGTCACATATGGATTTTTGTGCTTTCGGACTTTTAAAAACTGCATTATCCAAACGTTGTCCCAAAACCCTAACAGGACTCTGGAAAGCTGTTCGGGAGGAATGAGATAGAATACCTCTTCTGCCACTTCAAAAGGCATTATTATCCTGGAAATTGCGGTGTCGAAAGATAATTCAGAATAAGGGATGTCAAATAGAACATTTAAAACACAAGAATTTTATTTAATTTAGTTTTGTGAATACAATATACATCGTCTAAAAAATGTGTGAACAGCTTCTGTACCAAAAGGGTTTTGGAGCTGTTGGCTTGTGTTCAAGAACATTCTGGGCTAAACCAGTAAGAATTTGTTCCAGAAAGTTCTCCATCCATCTATGGCATATCGCCAATTTTGTCACCAAATCAACCATTTCTTGCAAAATGTGGCAACCCTAAACCTGCTTTGCTGGGAAGCTATCTTACTGCACCTGGACATTTCGTAACAATATAAAAAAGGTAACTTTTTTTAACAATTCACGTGTTATTCTGAATCAAGTGAATTTTCTAAGGATGGAGATACATTTAGAAGCTAATTTTTTTTTTTTTTTTTTTTTTTTTTTTTTTTTTTTTTTTATAATTTCAAATATTCAGCAACTTATAATGCCACATACTTCACAAACATTCCATAATCTAATGTTTATGTTATAATTTACTATGGAATGATAGCTTAGTACATAGAGTAAAAATTATGTAACACAAAAACATGCCTTGTTCATGAAACCCTATCAATTTTATTTCATTAAATTATTTGCGTTATCTTAATGAGATTATATTTTACTTAATTTCAAATAAACTTGACATCCTTTCTCTCTTCTATACATTAGTTGATTTCTGCAAAAATCATTAAAAAAGAACTATAAAAAATTCTAAAAAATATAATAATAATTGAATAAAGTTAAAAATATACAGGATGTACTGTAAATGTAACAAATGTCTAGGGGAGGTAGGGCACATCATAAGGATTAAAAATTGCATAGGAACCCATGCCCAAAAATGTCAGGGCTAAGTAGTAGCAGAGATAGAAGATGGGAAAAGAAACAAGAGTGACCTGACACCGAAGGACCATTTATTGCCGGACATATTCAAACACACCAGGAGTTTCTTTGAATATAGCAGCTGCGCAGGTGAGTCTAGCCATAAGATCCATTTCAGACACAACAGGATCATGATACACGACACTTTTGATGGCTTCCCACAAAAAGAAATTGATAAATCCAGTGAACGTGGGGACCAGGGAAACTGGTCCACTATGCCCAATTCATCGATGCGGGAATGATCTGTTCAAATGGCTACGAACACCCAGTTCAAAATGAGCAAGAGCCCCATCATGCTGGAATTACATGTTGCACCTAACATTTGGTGGAACATCGTCAAGCAAATTGGGAATAACCTGCTCCAGAAAGATAAAATTATTCGCTTCAGTCAAATAGTCCGTCGATGTCAGGCATGTTTGGCATCTGATGGTGCAAACTTCGAGCATCTGTTGTAACATCCAAGCTGTTGTATGCCATTTGTGTTCATGTCCAATAAATGTTTCAATTTAATGACTCTTGCTTTTTTCCCCATCTTCTACCTCTGCTACCATTTACCCTGATATATCCGGGTATAGGCTCCTATGCAATTCTTAATCCTTATGATGTGCCCTACCTTTCCCGGAAGTTTGTCACAACATTTAAGGTACACCCTGTATATATAATGTAGTATTGATGGCATAGAACATTAAACTTGCAATGACCAGCAAACTTGGCAGTCAAGACATATTAAATATTCTTTATTTCAATTGACATTTGCAGCCACAATTTACTTGGCACTCTAATCATGCCTATTCAAGAACTTTTACCTTTTTGATGCTGTTGCGACACGAAGAGAGCAGCAAGGTAGCGTTTTAAAAGGAACAAAGGTAAAAGCAAAATGTGCAGTTATCCAATAATGTATAATTATAATGTAAGGTTATTAATAATAATTAATAATGTAAGGTTATTAATAATAATTAATAATGTAATGTTATCCAATAATAACTATAATATTCAATTAAATCTGCAGTCTAATATTAAATATGATCAGGATAGTAAATTGTTTCACAATTTCTAAACAAAGTATATTTTCAAATAAATATTATTTACTGCTAATTTAACAATTATGGTATCACCACATTAACCACCCATTATGCACATTACCACAACTAATAAAAATAAATAAGCTATAATTAGGTAACATTATACAGAAAACATACATGGAAGAGTGATAGGTATTTTATCTTGTACATATTCAACTGGACTTGGTATGTGCAATATGATCATCAACTTCTTAGAGAGCATGGACGTTGCTGTCAGAAAATATATCAGCAATTCTACAGAAGGCACGTCATATATGCGAAGTCCTTATAATGGTTTTACTAAATGGTTGAGTGAAAAAGTACTTCACCGAATTCATGTTTGGTGCTACTCCCATACTCTAAATTTAGCACTGGTCGATTCTACGAATAGCGTTTTAGAAGGAACTTCTCTTTTATCCCTAACAAATGAAGGTGGCAAATTCTTTAAGGAATCCTATCAAAAAATGGGTGTGTAAAGAGGAGTTGATGATACAACCAAATCTAGGAAGCTTCATCTCATTGATGAAACAAGATGAAGTTCAAAATACTACATCCTAAAACAAATTTTTGGCATGTTCGATTGCAAAGATAATTGTTTATACGTAGAATTAATACTTGCACTCAAAAATATTGCTTCCAATGATATACCAAATGCACACATACAACAAATGGCAAGTTGATTCTGGACAAAACATCAACTTTTAGAACAATATTATCCGCTCGTGTATGTTTGAAAATATTTCAATATACTAAGCCAGTAATGGAATAGTTGCAGACAAAAGGATTAGATTACATCCTTGCATATAATGTGGTTAAAGAGGTTATAAGTTCTTTAAAAGCAATTTCTAGAAACTTTGATTTAATATTTAATGCATCAAAATTGTTTGCTATGGATTGCCATAATAACACTAAACAGGCTAGGTTATGATATAATTATAGATGAACTATCTGCTAGAAGATGTCGAAAAGTGAAGCAAATGGAAGAAAAGTCCAACTAAAATTTTAATTGCCCTTTCAAACAATTCAAAGTTACTGTCTTTGATTTTATAATGGATAACACCATTTCATCAATGGAAAGTTGGTTTACAGGGCATAGGGAAGTTGTATGAAGAAATATTTCTTCTTGATCCTAAAAATTTTTCGAAGCCATTGTCACCAAACTCTTTCAACTATTTATTTATATAATAAGGGCACTGTGCAGGTGTAACAACTGAAGGGCACTGTGCAGGTGTAACAATTGAAGGGCACTGTGCAGGTGTAACAATTGATAATCTTAAGGATGAATATCAGGACCTAGTAAGTAAATGGAAAATACTAAAAATTTCAATTGAAAATCATTATTTTGAATCTGATATTGAGTCAGAAGGAGAGAGTACTCTATCTATTAATGAGCATTTATCGAAAGCTAAATGCAATTTTTGCAAAATTTGCGTTTTCTGTGTACATAAATTACTATTGAAATATAATTTATATAGTAACGCATACGCCATTGTCTTTTTTCCTTATACGTTTGTACTCATCCTCTCTATAATGTAAGTTGAATGCAAAAGAGCTTTTTCAAAATTAAAAATTGTAAAAAGTAGATTAAGGAGTGCTATGAAGCAAGCTAATTTGGAGTCATTGCTATTGATAAACATATAAAAGGATATTTTGGCTAAAGCAAAAATTGAACATATAGTGGAGGAAATACTTACCCAGGCACGTGAAATTAAAAAATACTTAAATGGCTAATTATGAATCAACTGTGTTTTGTTTATATAATTATTTAGTCACTGTTATTTATTGTTTGTAGCTTATTTGCACACACACACACATATATATAGAGATAGATAGATATGAATAGTGTTACTTTTCTGCAAAGGTATATTTTTATATTATAAAATTATTTTTATGATGATGATGATGACAATGCTAATTTGTATGTATAATGACATTTCATATGTAGCCTTAGGGCTGGCATATTTTTTTCCTGCCAGGGACAATTTCTTTGGCCAATCCACCACTGCCCAGAACGCAATTTGTATGAAAGAAGAGTAATTTTCAGCTTCACCTGCCCAGGTGGATGCAAGATATAAACTCAGTTCTTATATCGTTATACTCCCAGAGCTGAAACTGTCCAATCTTAGTCAGTATAATAAGCAATCTCAGGAGTTAAGCCTTTACTAAAAGAATGGCTAAGACATATCTTTAAAAATTTGGTTACTAGTTTCATAAATTTATTCAAAACTCTTACCTCTGGGCAGCAAAGCTTCAATAATCTGATACTTTTGCCACACTGAAGAATACCTTGGGAATATTTGCATATCTCTGAAGGGACAGCTCTCATAGAATCATCAAGATTTTCAGTGTATGCAAATTTCCAATATAATTCATCTAAATATATAAGACACAAGTTAACAAGAATAATATCACTACACTATACATGATTATTTTAACAATATATATATATATATATATACAGGGTGATTATAATTAAAGTTTAAGTTTCAAACCGCTATAAAAAAAGAACCACTCATGAAAATGACGTCAAATTTGAAAGGAAATGTTATTGAAGAAGGCGGAAAGCGTATGGCAGAAGAAAAAATTTAGTTTTCAAAAGTTAGCAACAGATGGCGCTGCAAGCGAAAGAAGACTTAAATTAAAATGTTAGTTAAATTTCAGTGTTATAAAACCGCCAGCAGGTACCAAGGCTGTTCCTCATTTTCGCGTCTCAACGATTCGCCATGGGTGTTTCAACTGCAAGGACTGCGCTCTGCTGGTAAAGCTTATTACAAGAATGATGATTGTCAAGAGTAGCTCTGCAAAAATTCAGGACACTGAAAGGATATAGAAGAAGGCGTTGGTCCAATGAGTGTCGTGGATCTAAAGAAAATGAATGCAAAAATTCGAAAACGACAGGTTCGTTTGATGTGTAATCTGGTAGAGGGAGAAAACGAGTGTATTCGACGGTAGTTGAAGAAATGGTCACAGCATTACAGGAGGGGTCGGCCGGTGGTGTGCAACAGTGCAGTGCACGAGGAATTGTCCGGAACACTAGGACAGGCCTATGAGCACACTGCTGAAAATTGTACGAAACATTCCTGCAATGCTATCCGTACAAATTTGGCCATGTGCAGGAGTTGCTTCCGTCTGACCTGACAGCTAGGGAGACGTTTGCGTTAGAATTCCTGGCTCGCATGGAAGTGGATAATGAATGGCCGTGGAAAATTTTGTGGACAGATGAAGCCCATTTCCATCTGACAGGATACGTGAATACCCAGAATTGTCGAATATGGCAACAAAAATCCACTGGCAACGCACCCGTACCACTTCATCCTGAAAGGGTCACGGTATGGTGGGCTTTACGGCATCATTCATCCTACAACCATATTTTTTCGAGCAAACGGGTGCTTCCGGTCCTGTTCCCGCAACCGTCACTGGTCAGAGGTATGCGTCTCTTTTGTGCAACCACGTGATTCCATGTCTGCAACAGCATGGATGTGTGGATGAAATCATTTTTATGCAAGATGGCGCTCCTCCGCACATTGCACATCCCGTGAAACAGCTGCTGAGGCGCCATTTCGGAAATGCTCGAATTATCAGCCGTCATTTCCCTACATCCTGGCCATCCCGATCGCCTGATCTTACTCCGTGTGATTTGGCTGTGGAAGTATCTGAGGATGTGTGTTCCGTGCTCCAATTGCAAATTTAGCGGAATTAAAGGCACGCATTTCGCAACACATTCTGAACATCACCCCGGAGACACTGCGATCCGTTGTGGAACATGCTGTTTGTCACTTTCAACTTGTTGCACACAACGGTGGACACCATATTGAACATGTTTTGCGCCAGTCTCGCGACAGTCCCGAACTTCTTTGATGAATGGTTCTTATGCGGTATGTCGCCGCAAAACTCTTGAAACCGATTTGTCCCTTTCGATGTGATATGTACAGTCATGCAAATAAAATTATTCAACAATTCTAATTTTTCAATGCGTTTTAATGTGTAACTTCCACCTTAGCCATTGTTTTACGAATCATTTCTCGTTTCTCGTCGTGATTCTGCCGCTTACAGTGCCATCTGTTGCTAACTTTTGAAACTAAATTTTTCTTCTGCCATATGCTTTCCGCCTTTTTCAATAACATTCCTTTCAAATTTCACATCATTTTCATCAGTGGTTCTTTTTTTATAGCGTTTTGAAACTTAAACTTTAATTATAATCACCCTGTATATATATATATTAACTCCCTCTTCTCTTAGTTATGTCAATATAATACAAAACTAACTCTTCTCAAAACATTGTTAAAATATTTTATACATCTTAGAGGTAATGTTATCCTTAAATATTTTAAGATCTACAAGAATAAATACAGAAATTCTGAGCTTTTAAAATCTTCATAACATATACATAGAAGAATTTGCAGAAATGAAATTTGAAGTAATTTACTGATCTTATTCATATAATGTCCTGCAGTATTCCCTTATTCATATAATGTATTGCAGTATTCCCTTATTCATATAATGTATTGCAATATTCTCTTATTCATATAATGCATTGCAATATTCCCTTACTCATATTATGTATTGCAGTAACCGTAACAAACATCACTCACTGGAGTAAACAAAAACTGACAACAGCATTATGGCAACTGAACCCAAATTAAAAGATATATGAGAATAAAGGCAATTGCACACAGAAAATTAGCATAAAATAAAGTTTTTAAAGTAAAATAAAGTTTTTAAAATAAATTGAATAAAATTGTGAGTACCCCCTTAAAAAATCCTAGAATGTTACTATGTAGAATAATTTGCAGCAGAAGTTAGAGCTACTCATTTTGCCCTTTTAAATTCATTGAATCTTACACTGTCTAAAGAATAAAATGTTTTGAAGTTAAAAATTTATGAAATGAATGTACATAATTTACAGAAAAATATGTAAGCATAATATAATTCACAGGTAAAACCATAATTAAAAAATGTAAATTAAAATAAAAAGTTTTTCTAGCACAAACTGATATTTCACATGATGTAAGCATCACATTATAAAATAGTTTAAATGTACCATTTAAACAAAGATAACAAAATATATTTGTCAGCCTTAAATGCTTATCTGATATTCATATCCATGCTATGTGTGGAGCTTAACATTCAGAAATTATGATAATGACATCTTATCACTTATTTTTTATACATTTAATGCACTTAATTATTTCATTTTTACAGAATATCATAACATATCAAATTAATATTTGAGACAGAATAAGGTTTTAAAACTGCCTTCATTTCTCTCTGTATGGAAATACAAGGGGTGTTTTTAACACATTGAGCACCACGTCAGCCATTTGTGGCTGACACTAGACTTTCCGTTTAGGCCGCGTCAGTAGATGGCACTAGACTTTCTGTTTAGGCCATGTCAGCCATCTGTGGCTGACAATAGACTTTCCATTTAGGCCGCCATTCCCAGGTTATGCCATTCTCCAACAATCTCCTCCTCGTTGTCAGAAGATGATAAAAATACATTCTCTCTGGGCAGTTTTCTAGCAAGAATAATTTCACTGCTGCTATCGGTTTCATACTCTTGAACTGACATTTTGACGCTTAGGGTTAAAGAAAATTTTTGTCTGCACGGGGCCAAGAACTGCAATGAACTGGTTTGTTGTAAAGGGAACACCGGCCACGAATCTATTTCGATAAAATGTTATCTAGTTGGCCAAACAAAACAGATTTGACGCATAACATGTTGAATGAATGCCTATAGGAATCACGTTCCAAACGTAAACTATCTTCTACTGCTATAAAAATCACTGGCCCTACCATACCAGCGCTTTTAAGCGGCACGCATGGCCTGAACGGGATTGCCTAAGAAATACGCGCGGCGCTCAACGTGTTAAAGTAAGAGTCACTTGAAAATATAAATCAAACGAAAAAATTTTCAAAACGAAATTCATTTTCAGATTCTACATACACCCCTCTATTTTCCAACATAGTTGCCAAGTTTGTTTTAACATTTATCATACCTTAGAACTAGATTTTGAATACCCTCTAGAAACTTGCTGCCTGCTCTGATAACCAAGAGGTCACGACTGTTTTTACATTCTAGACTAAAAACTTCAGGAAATTCGTTTGAAAGAGTGCTTATGGTGAAGCATCTGTTCTCAAGAATTTTCACTTCAGCTGAAGTCACCATATCATCTGTGATCATTGATGGGCGACCACAGCGGGACTCATCATGGATGTTATTGCAGCCAGCTTTGAAGTCTCTGACCCACTTAAGCACTTTGCCTTCACTCATGGCAGTAACTTTGTAAACTTCCCTAATCTACCAGTGAATGTCTGCAGTAGACAAATTTCTTGCTGACATAAAATGTATCACTGATCTTACCTTTCACGGGGCAAGCAATTCAATAATCTTGAACATTTTAAAGACACAGAGCAGACCGTACAGGTTACTTACACAGCTGCAACTGAGCACAGTTGTTTCCAAGGAATGAGGGGACATGATGCAAGCACTTGTTGCCCCCCCCTCCGCACAACACATATTAGTGTATGCAACAAAAAAGCTCTTTAAAAACACTCTATGCAGATTCTCTTCAGATGAAAAAATTAAACATACCCCAGCCATAATAAGATGTCAAAACATAGGTTATTTCATGGTTCTGAAGCATTTACAAAATACTTTAAAAAATTAATTCAGTGGGAAAAAGGATTTATATATATGACTTGTATATATAAATTCTGAATAAAACAATTTTTCGATCAGCTCATATATATTGTTACGAAACGTACAGGCGTGGTGAGATGGCTTCCTCGCAAAGCAGTTTTAGGGTTGCCATAAAATCGCAAGAAGGACAGGGTTGCCACATCTGACGAGAAATCGCCCATTTGGCGACAAAATTGACGATATACCATGGATGGTTGGAGAACCTTCTGGAACGAATTCTTACCAGTTTACCCCAAATGTTCCCGAACACAACCCGAACACTATATAAACCCTGCTGGTCCGCAGTCAGTCAGTGTGCATCATCAAGAGGGAGAGTGTGCGTCTCTCATCGAGAGTGTGTCTCGTCTAGCGAGTCAATCAAGTTGACAGCCGGGCAGCGAGTGCCGAGTGGGTCATCGAGTTCACCGAAGGAGTCTCTTAGTGTATCGCGTTTAGTGCATTGTCGAGAGAGCGTGTTGAGCTCCAGAAATGACTGAACCGAGAGTCAAGAGCTGTGCTCTGTGTGTCGTCGAGTGCATCGCAAGTTGTAGCGTGGAGAGTCTCGAGAGTACATGGAGTTCCAAGAACGACCAAGCAGAGTCGGGAGCTGTACTCCGGAAAGCTCTGGAGTCAGGTGCTTTGCAGGAAGCTATTTGCCTGACAGTATGCAGGCTGTGTCACTGATTGTTCCAACGTGTTTATAGTAGATCTCCAACGACTGTAAAAAATTTTATTAGAGCTGTCCTGACAATACTGGCTGAATAAAATGTGTTTTGATACTTCATCAGGTGTCGTTGTTATTCACTCCAAATCTACACAAACCCCATACAAACGTGAAGGAAGGAAATAACGCAACAACTGGTGTCAGAAGAATAGGAAAAACGTATCAATATGAAAGACATTATTTCTTTTTGTAAAGCACTTCCAAAAATGCATGATCATCTTAAATATACGGCTAATTTACATTAAGGTCGCTACTGTAATTATATAATAGTTCATGAAAAAACAAATGTTTGGAAAAAAAAAACAGTACCTACTGATATTTTTATTTTTAGACTAAATGTAGTAATTCTGAAAAATTTCTTCATAATACATTTGATTAACTTTTACATTTATAAATGTTATTCCTTGATAAACAAGAAATTTTTAAAATTTTTACTAAATGTTTGGAATACATGCAGCTGATGCTGCAGTACATCCTAAAAGATAAAGACATTATAATGAATGGTTACGGTGAAGATGAATTTAACATATTCTCAACAGTTGGATATTTTTATACTAGTCTCTCACTGTAATAGAACAACGCTATGAGCAGTTGTTACATTGATAGCAACGGCTGTATTTACAGGAAAAGTTACAAAACACAAAATATAATGTGAGCTGTAGCGGACAAGAAATTAACTGTGAGCTTTAGCCTTGTTAATAACATGAAAACTAACTGCATGTAAGTCACTAATTTATCAAAATAAAATGCTTTCATTTTTTAAAAAATTATAATGAAACTGTTAAAAATCATAATTATACTTTTAGATGAAAAATATTTAAATACCACCTCACATCTATTACATAACACCCTTTTTTTAATATGCATTAAAAAAACAATAACTGAAAAAAAATTAAGGAAAGTATCAAATCATTATCAAATTTTACTAACACAAATTCCACATTCTATGCATAGGTATCACCATTCATTAGGATAATACATAATTCAATGGTAATTAAAGAGAAAAAATAGAAGGGAAAAAAAGGCTAGAAAATAATTATTGTAATGGTACTGCAATGAAATTACAGCTTTCTCATGAAAACATTTGTTTCTGTAACAAAAATAAATAAATAAATAAAATCCAGCAATAAAATTACCTCTTCTGCTTAGGTACTTTGAATCTTCCACAATTTGAAATTCACCATATGGATCATAGCAAATACCTTCGGTCATCCACTTATTCAAAAAACTATAAACAAAACTATATTTAATGTTGCACAATAAAAAAAAAAATCTTCATTTATTATAAAAATCATTTTCATTCCACAAGAAAGAAATTTTATTCACATCTGAACCCTAAATACATTTTAGTTTATGAAACCTAATTTTTTTTAAAGTATGCTGTAAATAAAATTAGCATCCTTGAAACTTGAAATGAAAAATAAAATATTTATCTTGAAAAATTTATTAGCACAAAGATATTCTCACAAATAAATAACAAATTATAAAACATCCGCTTAAATTTAATCTGCTTTTTCAATAAATAAAAATAAAATAGGCAATTCAACAATTAGAAAATTATACTTTTTCGAAGGGCAAAATTAAACACGCAGTTATTCTCATACATATTGCATTAAAGAAAATATATTAAATTTCTTTAAAAGCCTTTAAAATTATTGCAAAAGATTCCTTTAGTTCATTTAAATTACAGTAATCATTAGATTGTATTTTTAGTTACATGTAAGAGAGAATAAAAAAATAGTTTTATTTAATGAAATATTACAAAGCAGAATTTATACAGTGAAGTGTCCATTTATTTAAATTAAAATTCCTGATTCTTCATTGCAACTAATAATCTGAGTGCAACTAATAATCTTGCATTGATACATCCCACTGCTTGACCACAATCATATGCACTGAAATGATGGCTCACAGATATTCTGCAGTCAATCTTTGTCAGCAAAACTGAAAACTTTCAGCAATATTTTCAGAAACTGGCAATGCAATTCTTCTCTCAAATGTTACTACTTACAATTCTGAATAATGAAGTAATGTGAGTCTACTATCTTATACAGAGAAGAGATCTTGCCTTCCAATGCCCTCTACACACACTTGAGATTATGCTACTAAGAATACAAATTTGCTGTTCCTTAATAACTATCAAGAAGTGCATATATAGATTTAAAACCAATTTAAATACAAATACAGTCAAAAGTCTTTAATCCGGATGTCCATAATCCAGAATGATCTATAATCCGGACTTCAAAGCTACAAACTTTCTGTGCATGCGTAAACACATAATGCATTTACACATGCCCATAATATGTTTACGCATGCGCGTTTAATGTATAACGGACAGTATAAGCTAAGCTAAAATTATCTAATTATCTATTACAGTTAATGTTGCAGATTGCGTTTTTCCTTAATCTTCGAACTGAATCCGGCTTACTATTTTTTGCAGACTGTTAGAGCAATTTTATAAAAGTAAGCTTGAACTTTCGATTATGGCAAAAAGAATTTCCGATTCTGCAGCTGCCAAAAGATCTACAAAGCGAAAGCATGTTGCGATATCCATCAAACAAAAAGTGGAATTGCTGCAAAAAATGGATAAAGGCATATCCTTTGTTTCTCTAACCATTTTGAAATCTGTTTATCAATTTCACGCTGCTTACGGGGGGGGGGGACGTCACGGCTCTCAGTGAACTGGAAGTTGATCTGTCAGCACTATCGTTATCTTCAGAGCAGATGTTTTTATTTTAATCGCCTTATAATTCCTTACTAAATGTAGTATTTCATCTCGATGTACTCCGTCTTTGATATGATTTAAATCAAATTCTTCATCATTATAAATATCACGAATACACATTAAATAGTTTTCTGGTTGCAATTTTTTAATTTCGACTATGCGTAATGTATGCTTTATGCATGCGTGCATTGAAAGAAATGTTTAATAAAGTAAACAAATAAATATTAAGTTTTTTTTTTTTTTTTTTTTTTTTTTTGTAAATTTTGATAAGATCATAATTGCTCTTTATTTCATAAATTACAGTTTCATATTTTTAATTTTATAATTTCTGCATGCAATCTTACCAGATTTAATCTGGAAAAACTGATAATCCAGAATCGTCGAAGTCCCGACGAGTCCAGATTAAAGACTTGTGACTGTATTTAACACTTAAGCATTAATTAATGCTTCACAAAACGTTCTACAAATCTCTAATAGATGAAAACAGTTCAGATTGAATAAATATTAATCAGAAACATTACGTTCAAAACCACATGCTGGGAATTTGCACAAATTGAGTTTTGTTTAAAGATAGCAATGTATTGTCTTAATGTTTAAAATTTGTTATGAAAATGTTTACTGCACTTTCCCTTCACACTTAAATTTGCTTAGAAGTACATTTTAAAAAAGGTGATTTGAATTCAAATAAATTAAATCCAGGACATTTGGTGATTTAATGGAAGACTGAGAAATGTGATGAGAAATTAAACTCCAATAAAATTGGAAGGGTGGCAACTATAGAAATAAATTTGGAGGGTTTAACATAGCATTATCACTTCTTATATTACTCCAATATGATTGTCAAATCTTCCCACAGACATATTTCTTTAGATGAAGAAACAATGAAAATCTCTGAGGACTATATTGTGACAGACAGAAAATAGTCTACTTGAGTTTCGCCAGAAGGTGCAATATGCTTAAGGTACTGTCATGGAGCAAGAAGATAGTGTATGTCGATGCTACCATCCTTTTACTTTGGATGGTTCTGTGAAATAATGACAGGGTTTAAATGTGAATAAATATTAATTCTGTTACACAAAGTATAAACTCAACAAAGATAATTTTTGACTTTTCCAAAGAACTAAAACCATAATTTTATGGGCCAAAGTTAAAAAATTATGTTGTTTGGGAAATGGTATACTGTCCCACTGAAGTAATTATCACTCAGATTACGGTGCATGGAGAAATCCCAAATTTATTCCTAATCATGACAAAGTCCAGGAATTCATTGCCTTCTTCTGTAGAGAGAGAGTTAAATAGTTACATATGTAATTCATTGTTTTCATTTTCCATGTTTACATTAACATTTCTGATACCCAGTGCATACAATTCTTTAATCTTCAGTCATAATTTCATGAATTAAGGCTTTTGAGATTTGACAAAATATTTTTTTTCTTTTATTACTAAGAATTTCTTTTTTTAATTTTCAGAATGTGAATTGACAGAGCTTAAAGATGGACTGCTGCTCCCTTGTTTGTCATGAATATCATTTCTACCTTTCGAAAATTCATGGCTTTACTTCATTAGAGCACATCAGTTCGTAACATCACCATAAACAGTTTTAATTCTTCTGTGATGTTGTTGGATTTTTGTGGCTAATAAAGTCAAAGATCATCATGCGCCAAACATATGGTCAAATTACACCATCTTATTTAATAATAGAATTAAATTCTAAAATCAGCAAAAACAATGCAGTAATGGAAATTTACTGTTATATTACACAAAAATTGAATCAGATGAAATTTATGAAGCTAAGAAGATACTACATGGATATAACTGGTTAATAACACCTTGAAGAGATGCCCAAAATTTACGAGATGAATATAGGTATAAAAACAGTAAAACCTCATATATGAAAAATATTTTAAATACATTGAATTACTTTTTAAACCATTTTAGAGCAGATAAATAAAACCAATATCTCTTAAGTACAGAAAACTATTACAATTACTGTCTTGTCTGATTAAACAATCAAAAGTTCCCTAACACTTATTAAAATACTTCACAGAAAACATGTTAAAATGAAGGTATTCTACTAAATTGCGACATACCACCAGAACAGAATTACACCTTTAACAAAACAGGTTCGTCTTGGCTTTTAGAAAATAATTATATGTAACTCAAAAATGGCCAATTAAAAGGACTTCTTTCTCTCTCCGGTTTCTATTTCTTCCAATATTTTATTCAAGGTTTTTTTTTTTTTTTTTTTTTTTTTTTATATATATATATATATATATATATATATATATATATTTCTCAACTTGTTACAGAATTGAATGTCTCAAAATTACTGCCAGTAGTTGAGGATTTTCTACTTGATATCAATACTGTTGTCGCTAAAGGAAACAAGCCAAGTGGACAGTTTAATAGCAAACTTTGCTGCAATGTCTGCCAGATCATTAGCTTTTATCCCTACATGTCCAGAAACAGCACTAAAGAACTTAATATCCACAGTTGCTTAACTTTAAGTTCAGCTTTAGAATTTTAAAAACTACAGGATTCAGAAAACGTTTCTAAAGCTTTTAGTGCAGTAAACAAGTTGATATAAATAATAAATTTTCTCTAGCTTACCGTAGATATGAAGAAAAATGCATTTTATACAGCAGTTAAGACTGAACAAACAACATGGAAGCCATATGCTTTCCAATAGTTGCTTAACACAAATGATGCTCCAACATTATTAATTCCTTTTACCCCATCTGTATACAGATGAATATACCTAATTATTGAGTTTTCATTAAGTGTTCATGCTTGAAGTTAGACATACAATGGCTTGCATTTTTCATTTGTTAGCATTCTGAATTACTGTTTTCAATACAAATCTGACTTATTTGAATAAACTTTGGGACAACAATACAAAAAAAAAAAAAAAAATATATATATATATATATATATATATATAAAGTAAAAAATTCTAGGTTTTTGGCAGTGTTGCCATTCTATGCATACCAACAAGCATTAACAGCTGAAAGAGAGGTATTCTTGCTCGTGTAGCAACATTAGAATCACAAATTAACTAATTAACCAAATAATTTATTTAACAGACATTCAAGCAGCGGCCAAGCAGTAAAGTCGCTGAACACTCTTATGTGTAACATGTATACAAGCCAGCTTTCCTTAGATAGTCCTCCACTAAGGCATCTCTCCCCTTAGGCAGATAGCCCTCAATGCTTTGTCATAATCATATAAGCCAAACTAAACAACAATTCATTCAATGGCTTACTTGTTATCTTAATTATGCTTCAAGCATTATTTTCTAAAATGTTTTATAATGTACATATATTTAATATACAAAAAGAGAACAAAACATGCAAACAACATGCTTTTTAAAGAGTAAAATTCTCATTAAAAAAAATCAATATTTAGGAAAATAAACATGGCATTTGATGACCAGTACTAACTAAACATTTTTTTTTAAAATTAATTTTGACGTCACCAAATTTAGGTTTTATGCAATAAAAACATGGTTTCTTCACATGATTTTTAGCATAGTAATATAAAATTAGATGTAGATCTAACAGGTTAAAATGTAAAAATTATTTAATTATTTTCAAAATTTCTCAAAAATTTATCACAGCATAATTTAATATAATTAACAGCATCAAAATGTTATGAAATTTGACCAAAAAATTGATTATTTGAAAATATAACACAGAAAGCACAATATATTAAGGCACAGAAGGAACAATATATTAAGAATTCAAAGAATTTGAAGATTTTACCTTAAGCATAAATTTGAGGCGAACATGAAAATATATATTGTTAATATGCATATTAGTGTATACTTACTTAAAATAAGGTGCATATGTGTATTTTAACAGCACAGCTATCAAAACTGCATTTTCTTTCCTTTTATGAGCCCAAGCTGAATGATGTAACTTGGAAAGGAGACCTAAGCCCTGGAAATGCAAATATATCAAAAAGAAAAAGAGAGAGAGGCCTTACATAACTTTCAGCATAAAAATAATATCACCATGAAATGCAAAGTCACTTCTATCACTATTCAAAAGGGGATGGGAAACTATTATACATAAAAATATACAACAATATGAGATCAAGTTGAAATATATGTGTGTGTAAATATTTTCTAATAATCCGATGAAATATATGGGTGTATAAATATTTTCTAATAATCCGATGAAATATATGTGTGTGTAAATATTTTCTAATAATCCAATCTTGGAATGAGAACAAATAATCTTTAGTTTGATAATAAATTACAGTTATTTTACTTTATAGGGATTTTTATTAATAAATTTAACATTTAGATTTTTTTATACTTAAGATTTAGATTTTCTTGGTCTACAGCAAATCAGTGGACTTCATTCAAATTCTTTTTTCACCACTTTTATCTACATACACAGTTTTAACACTCTTTCCCACCTCTTTTAATAGGAGACCTAAACATCTCTCAAGGATTGGTTCCAACAAACGTCCTTTTCAATTAAAAGCTTCACAATAGCAGCTATGGAATTTAAACTGTAAGTCAGGATCAAAATTATATATATTTTTGGCCTGTATTTTTGTATATGCATGTAATTAAGACATTATAATCATACAATACTTTAAATTGTATAATACAGTCAAAAGTCATTAATCCGGACTCGTCGGGACTTCGGCGATTCCGGATTATAGATCATCAGTTTAAATCTCGTAAGATGGCATGCAGAAATTCTAAAATTAAAAATATGAAACCGTAATTTATGAAATAAAGAACAATTATGATCTAAAGCGTATCAAAATTTACAAAAAAAAAAAAAAAAAAAAAAAAAAAAAAAAAGCTTAATATTTATTTGTTTACTTTATTAAACATTTCTTTTAATGTAAGTTGTTTAAGTTGCATCGTTTTATGTGATAATACTTTCTCTTTAATTCTATAAACAGACATAATTTCTTGTTCAGTTACAAAGTTCCGCTGTTCAAGTCCCGTTAATTGCTGTGCCGAGAATACCGACTAACTTGTCAATCGAAATTTTTTCGTTTTCACTAACCTCTCTGTCACATTCTTCATGTCTTTATCCATTTTTTGCAGCAATTCCACTTTTTGTTTGTTGGACATCGAAACATACTTTCGTTTTGTAGATCCTTTGGAAGTTCCAGCATCAGAAATTCTATTTGACATAATCGAAAGTTCAAGTTACTTTTATAAAATTGCTCTTACAGTCTGCAAAAAATAATAAGCGGGATCCAATTCGAAGATTAAGGAACAATGCAATCATTAACTGAAATAGATAATTAGATAATTTTAGCTTACACTGTCCGTTATACATTAAATCCTCAGGCGAAAACGTATTCTGCACTTGCGCACACGCATATGCGCAGTAGTCAAAGTCTTACGCGCACGCGTAAAACGCCTGTGCGCATGTGCCAACGCGGCGCATGCGCAAAAAGTTTTTTAGCTTTGAGGTCCGAATTATAGATCATTCCGGATTATGGGTGTCCGAATTAACGACTTTTGACTGTATTTACACTGGTTTTATATACATCGATACTTCTGAATTCCCCATCAGTTTTTATAAAAATCTTTTCGTTAATATGTTCTTTTTTGATTGCGATGGGGAATTACATTCATGTTTGAAAATTATAAATTATTCATTTAAATACATATTTTATACATGGGTTGTAAATTGAATAGTGGTAACTTAACCTTGAAACTCGCAGAAGGGTGGGCATGCGCAGATAGGATATGGGAGCGGTGAGGTGGCATTGTTGTCGATGTGTAGAGTGCAAAAAACCGTCGATCTGCTTAGAAGGGTAGTTGTTGTGTGCCGTTAAAGTGAGGAGTTTTATTTCCATCACTCTAAAGCATGTTTTCAGAAGGTGATCAGTGGTTGTGGCTTAAAATCGAGGTTGCCCGTGACAAAAATGTAACAGAATGATATCGAGGATTAGTGGAAGCCTGTGGCACAAACCCTTTACCGTATAGGACAGTAGTACGATGGGTTCAAGCATTTCGTTTGGGTCGGAATGAGACTGCGGATTTGCAATGCAGGTCAGCCCTCCATTTCTCAAGAGCAGATTGACATCCTGAGCAGTCTCCTTACCATAGATCACTGATGGACTGTCTGAGAATTATCCTTAGAGGTTGATCTAAGTCATCAAACGGTGTGGCGCATAATGAAGAAATCTCTCAACATGAGGAAAATTGTTTCCCGCTGGTTTCCACATTGACTAACCAAAGTACAGAAATGGCACCAGTATGCACTGACTGGCACCCACTTGGAGAGATACCGCAATGAAGGAGACACATTTCTGCAGTATATTGTCGCCACTGATGAGACACAGGCATGAGCCTATGAGCCTGAATTAAAGCATCAATCAAATGAATGGCGTCACCAAGTTTCGCCACGTCCACAGAAATTTCGACAGGAGCCCAGTGGGATGAAGGTTATGCTGATTATTGCATATGACTTGGACGGTTTGATTCTTACACATGCTGTACCTGACGGACAAACTGTCAACGCAGATTACTATTGTCGGTTTCTACAGAACCATCTGCGTCCGACTATGTGGCGCAAACGTGCACGTTTATTGCAGAAAAATCTCCCTATCGTATTGCATGACAACGCTCGTTTCCATGTCGCAAACAATGTCATTCTCCTTTTGTGACGGTGGCAGTGGGAAATCCTGGAACACCCTCCCAACTCACCCGACATGAGTCGTTGTGACTTCAATCTGCTTCTGAAGTTGAAGGAACCCCTCTGAGGTCACCGATTTCATGACGTTTCAGCTGTACTCCATGCAATAGGGCGCTCGGTTGCTCACATCAACAATCAACACCTTGCTACTGTCTACAATGGCTTCCCGTCATTTGGCAAAAGGTTATAAGCTTTGCTGGTGATTACATAGAATGAATGTAATGCAATTGCACTTGTAAGTTCATTAAAAATTTATTTATACCTGTGTTGCCATTACTTAATTTTACAGCCCTCCTATATTAGCTTTTTGCAGCTAAAAGAATTCATTCAAACATGTGAAGGAGACAAAATGTGATCATACCCAAATTACTACAGAATTTTTGTGAAAGGGTTAATTCTTCTTGAAAAGTCAACCTTCTTCTGGGAAATCAGCAATAATTTACTTGCTTTTTATGTATGTATTGTTCTGCCTTATTTTTATGCATGTACTATTCTTTTTCTTTTTTTCAACTGTACGGTTTTAATGCATACCATTACAAATGCTAAACTGTTTTAAGTTCATTACAAGTTTTTAATAGTTTTAACACAGTCCTCTTTAATATTAACATTTCCTAATTTCAGTTTGCAACAGTTTTTACATTTCCTTTCCAAGGTGATAATCAGAAATAGAAAATTAATAATTAAATACATATATATATGTAAAAAGATGACTTGGTGAAAGAAAGCTGCAATGGATTGATGATGGTTCTCTGCATTATAACTTAAAGAGGCTTTACTGCATAGTAAGAAAGGTGACACTCAAAGGCAGACATGTAATAGAAATAAACTTAGAAGTAATAAACAGCAGGAATTTTGATGGCTTAGAAATGTTGATCGAATAGAAGACTGGCAGTAGAGGCACATTAAAAATCTTCATTTTATTTTCAGTAAACATATTGCAGCCACAAACAACTTGGCACATTATTTGTGCCTGTTTCAAGAGGTTTACATTTTTAATAACTTTGTACCAAGAACGAAGCAGCAGACAGCCATCTAGCTAGGCACAGGAGTAGCAAGCGTGTTAAATTCAGGATGCAATCTTAATTCAGACTGAGTTAGTTTTGGTTCTCAATGCATAATGATTGGATAATTAGTACTGCTGTAAAATTATTATTGACTATTCGAGTTTTAGTTCCATTTGCATCATCAAAATTATTTAAGTGGACATGGATTAGAAATGATGCAGTGTAAATAAAGATTACAAATTTTAGAATACAGAGAGGAAATTAATTTATGTTGCTAATTTAAATTATAATTTATCTTTAAACATATTTTAAAATTTTTTTACATGCACACACATATATAGATGTGTGATATTTTGGCAGTTGGGCACATGAATGAAGCTTGGCAATCTGGTCACATCAGAGTCCAGGTTTAGTCGTTGCGAAGTGGAAGGCAGCCGAAGTGAAGACACAGAAGAATTTCATTTAAAAAAATAAATAAATAAAAACTAAACCATATCTTTATTCACTAAAAATGTCAGATCAATATTCTTTTAGATTCTTCAAAATTACATATCCAATAATGATTTAGATTAAAGTTAAAATTAAGCTTTCGATGTAATAACTATTCTAACCAAGGGAAGAAGAAGGGACAGAGCAGCGCAAGGTCTTACAGCAGTGATGGCAGGGAGTAGTCTGACGAAAAATGGCATGAACTCTGCATTTCTACTAGCAATTACATAAAATGCCAGAATGTTTTCAAATGTACTGGTCTAGGGGGGAAATCCTGAAATTGTGGAAACTTAATTAGAGGTTGCCTGTTCCCGAAGAGCAAAGTCATCATATTTTTTATATTTTACATATATATATATATATAAACTAAACTGCAAACAAGCACAAATATCAAAGAATATGTGTAACAATATTTACATCAATAAATGTTAAGCACAATTTGGACTGCACTCATTTATTTCCCTCAGATTTCAGTAAAAATATTCTGGTATAAAAATCAGAAGATTTTAAAAACAAAAAAATTCTGGTATACAAATCAGAAGATTTTAAAAACAATGTACATTTTTTAGATAAACCAAATACATGTGTTTGTAATTAATACCTCATATGAACTCTTACAGTATATTTTTATCATATCAATAATGAGTTATGTAAAGAACAACTTATCTGTAGCCTAATTTAACACATTCAGAATTTAAAAAAATAAAATATATATTTAATATGCACTAATTATTAGACATTTATCAACCAAAAATAGAATTATGGGTA